ACAGGTAACACAGGTAATGGGGGTGAACTTACAGGTAGTGGGGACGTCTCAACTGGTAACACAGGTAATGGGGACGTCTTCACAGATAACACAGGTAATGGGGACGTCTCACAGGTAATGGGGTGAACTTACAGGAGTAATGTCTCAACAGGTAACACAGGTAATGGGGTGAACTTAAGGTAGTGGGGAGCCAATTGAGAAACAGCAGCCTGGCGGCCCATTTATTGAGAGGTGTTACACTTGCTATGTCAGGCCTCGTTAACCTGTGGGTGAGGTTAGGTTAGGTTAGGTTTGGTTGGGGTTTGCTAGTTTGCTAGGGTTAGGTTAGATAGATAGATGAACTGGAAGACTGACAGATAGACAGACAGAAGCACAGACAGACAGGCAGACAGACAGATAGAGACAGACAGACAGACAGACCAACAGACAGACAGAGAGACAGACAGACAGACAGACAGACAGACAGACAGACCAACAGACAGGAGAGAGACAGACAGACAGACAGACAGACAGAGACAGACAGACAGACCAACAGACAGACAGAGACAGAGACAGACAGACAGACAGACAGAGAGACAGACCAACAGACAGACAGACAGACAGACAGACAGACAGACAGACAGACAGACAGACAGACCAACAGACAGACAGAGAGAGACAGACAGACAGACAGACAGACAGAGACAGACAGACAGACAGACAGACAGACAGACAGAGTGACAGACAGACAGACAGACCAACAGACAGACAGACAGACAGACAGAGACAGACAGACCAACAGACAGACCAACAGACAGACAGACAGACAGTAGGTGTCAAGGGTTGTGTTATCGTCTGCCTTGTGGGAAGATAACAGCCCTCTTATCTTGACTACTGATAACAATGAGGGCGCCTCAATGTGTTATCCTACGGTCGGTTAGTGCTTGGTTAGGGTTAGGTTAGGTTACGTTAGGTTAGGTTAGGTTAGGTTAGCGTTACGTTAGTGTTTGGTTAGGTTACGTTAGGTTAGATTAGCGTTACGTTTGATTAGCGTTACGTTAGTGTTTGGTTAGAGTTACGTTAGGTTACGTTAGGTTACGCTAGATTAGCGTGGGTTACGTTAGGTTACGTTAGATTAGCGCCAGGTTAGTGTTAGGTTAGGTTACGTTAGGTTAGCGTTACGTTAGTGTTAGGTTACGTTAGTTACGTTAGATTAGCGTTACGTCAGTGTTGTGTCACGCCAGGTTACGCTAGGTTAGCGTTACGTTAGTGCTAGTGCTAGTCCAGGTCACGCTAGGCCAGGCCACGTTAGCGTTAGTCACGCAGGCCACGCCAGGGTCACGCCACGCCAGCAGTCCAGCCAGGCCACGCCAGATCAGCGCCACGCCGCCAGTCACGCCAGGTCACGCCAGGCCAGCGCCACGCCAGCGCCAGCGCCACGCCAGGCCACGCCAGGCCAGCGCCACGCCAGCGCCGCGTCACGCCAGGCCGCCAGCGCCAGGCCAGGTCACGCCAGCGCCAGGCCAGCGCACGCCAGGCCACGCCAGCGCCAGGCCAGCGCACGCCAGCGCCAGGCCAGCGCACGCCAGGCCACGCCAGCGCAGGCCAGCGCAATGCCAGCGCCAGGCCAGCGCACGCCAGGGCCAGCGCCAGCGCAGGCCAGGCCACGCCAGCGCCAGGCCAGCGCACGCCAGCGCCACGCCAGTGCCAGGCCAGCGCCATGCCAGCAGCAGGCCAGCACGCCAGGCCACGCCAGCGCCAGGCCAGGCCACGCCAGCGCCAGGCCAGCGCACGCCAGGCTGGCGCCACGGTGCCAGCGCAATGCCAGCGCCAGGCCACGGCCGCCAGGCCAGCACGCCAGGCACGCCAGCGCCAGGCCAGGCCACGCCAGCGCCAGGCCAGCGCACGCCAGGCCACGCCAGCGCGGCCAGGCCACGCCAGCGCCAGGCCAGCGCACGCCAGGGCTCACGCCAGCGCCAGGCCAGCGCACGCCACGCCAGCGCACGCCAGCCACGCCAGCGCCAGGCCAGGCTCAC